CCACGTAGATTTCATAATAAAGGCAACCTTTCTTTTGGCCAAACTTTTTATTCGCAAGCCCGCATCAGTTTTGGGATTCCCATAGGATGTCATCCATGTAATCAAATCAACATGGCCTAACAAGCAATCCGCTGTATCTAACAGGCAATCATGTAAATATGGAGTGAGATAAATGGCCAATCTCGGGATTTACGAGTTACCTTGAACACGACTGCAGGTCAAATCTTGCTTGTCCTCGACCTTTGCCAAGGTGTGAATGATGAGTTTCATACAGACGACCCTATGGCCGGGAGATTTGAGCTGTATGTCATATACTCCTATCTGTGAGTTTATAAGGCAGGGCCGTCACCTCTGCAGATAACGTTGCTGGAAGTATCGTTGTAAACTTAGAATGAGACTCAATAAATCTAGCTTAGGAGAGAAGACGCCTGGATATGAGACCACGCTCTAGGAATTCGAATGTAAAACAGACTTTATTATCTGTGGGGTCGTGTGGCGTAACGGAAGTGTGCTTGACTCGGAACCAAGAGGTCCCGGGTTCGGGTCCTCTTGATTCCGATCTTGTGCCCTTGGGAAAGGCACTTTGCACGACTTCCCTTACTAAACTCAAGTCAAAATGAGTATGGTCCTGAATGTATTTGCCCTCTGCGTTTGGTGGCGGCATAGAATAAGTTGATATAACTTGAGTGTGCCGTCACCATGTCTAGTCATGAAAACTGGAATCGAAAAACAAACGGTATTAGCTTATATGTACCATTATATCTTTGGAATAGAACTTCTTCTGTGGCGACAATTGCATTACGAAGATATTAAACGTACATGTATAACTGTGCATAAAGGTTAAATTCTTTTAAAATACATATTAAGATACATAGAAACCTTCGTTTCAATCTCATTTATATTCGATAACATTATAAGACATCCTTTGTATTTCTAAGTTGAAAGTAACTAATTTCAACACTAATCAAGTCTTGTGAAAAAACTGTTTGTACTCTACAAATCTACAGTCTCTTAAATAGAATTATAAGATATCCTTTGTACTTTCAAGTTGAAAGTAACTAATTTCAGCACTAATCAAGTCTTGTGAAAAAGCTAGTTTGTACTTTACAAATCTACAATCTGCAATCTACAAAACGAGTCCGCGTGCAATTCACAGTGTAATCAATTGCGTTGCCGCAACGGCACGGTGTAATTTCAGCTGAGGAAGCCCGGCTCCCGAGTGCTTCAACATTCATTAGCATCACAGAGTTAAGAATTACTTTGGCAGCTCGGTTCACTCTGTTGGGACTTGAAGTCAGGTCACAGCAAGTAATTTTTGGCGACGCCTTTGGGGCGGAGGCATTTGTGTAAGTACTACGATCGCTTTGAAAGAATTTCAAAAATTGCACGAATGCGTTCCAAAGGGAATTGGTTTGGAGGAAACCTTCCACCATGTGGTTTTTGGATCAAGCAGGTAACTTACACGGGTGCCCACGTGCCACCCATCCAGATGCCTGGCATGATTAATTACTGGTCATCAGTCTTCTCCCCACACCATGCACAGAGAGCACAGCTGTCTTTGGCCAAAGACCATATTCAAACAGGTCACAGAGAGAAAAGAAATTATCCGTCCTTTTGGAACCCACAAAAGGTAAAAAAAGTCAAAAGGAGTAACAACTTCAGACCAGACATAAAATCCAGTCTCTGGTGGAGGATAGAGTGAAGTGGAGGATGGTTTTCAGTTTGGTTCTAGCGGGAACTCGACCAAAGAAAAGTAAGTAAGTATGTCATCATAAAATCTATATTGCTGGGGAGGAACGGCTGATTCCTCCTATACGTGTATTTGGTATATTGCCCCACACCTCCTCCACCCAGCCTGTAAATTTCACTACGTGCATGTATTTATAACATAGGGAAATATGTTTTTCTGATAATTTTAATGTACAAATGTAGATTGCTAGCTCCACCACATGAAATAATATATATCATTCAGTCGTCGCCTTGGCAATGATTTTTATTGCCTCAGCCTTGTTATGGATGACATCAGCGCACGCATTAGATTTCGCCTGATTTTGGAAAGAAAAAAAAAACAAGAAATTTTGTTGCCTCCTGACAGTGGTCAACATACCGAAAATGGGCAAAGATGTCTGTTGCCATGCCGGAAGGTGGATCGCAGATAACTATGAAGAGAGGAGACAAGAAAAGGCTCTGATTTAATGTTTTGTTTCTTACTTTGATGCAGTGATATGTGATGCTTGCTGTGTATATGTGATGTTCCTAGTGAATCAAAACCATTTCTGCAATGATTGAGTCAAAATTTTAAATTGTACGAACCTTGTTTTCTTCGGCCCGCCTTGTTTTTTTCTTCGCCCGCTCGCATTAGATTTGGAGTCTGCGGAGGATGTCATCCATAAAATTTACTTGCCGTTGCCTTAGTATCAGAGAGTTAAGAATTGCTTTGGCAGCTCGATCCAGCCTGTTGGGACTTGAAGTCGGGTGGAGAGACGAGAAAGTTATTACAGCTAATAGGCGGTGACAAGCGAACTGGTCCGCCGGTCATATTACCTTGTCCTCGCGCGGGACACATGGCTTCACCCCGCTATTGATATTATGTACGTAGTGACCCGAATGTATCCCAGTCTGGTCGTATTTTTACCTTCACCAGAAGGGTCGTGAGGCGTAATGGCAGAGCGTTCGGCTCGGAACCAAGAGGTCCTGGGTTCGAACCCTGCCATGTCACCGATCCTGTTCCCTTAGTATTTTACACGACTTTCCTGGATGGAGCCTAGGGAACCCCATCTCATATTAGCCACAAAAAGGCAGCAGAAACTTCAGCTAGTTGAAGGCGGCTGCCTCAAAATTAAGGAAGAAGAAAAAAAAGGTTATATTTTTGGAAGCGTTTGTTGAATTCTAATAAGTTCTTGTTCATGTTCTTTTGTCTCCTTTGTATCCTTCAGCATAAAATCTAGCAGTTACGGTACATAAAATTGTGATGATACATGATTGGCGACCATGATTTAAACAGGAAATTGCATATTTAAAACCTCCGGGAAATATGTAGAGTTTTTGTGAATTTATTGGCACATTTGCAAAGAAGTGCACTCCGCCATGCATGACATACACAGTGAGACATTCGTTTGCTCTTGACTATTCGTATCGACTGACAATTATGCCCGATAGTTGCGTTGTTAAGGTCTTTTAACTTGTCGAACTTTTCTACTTTTTTTATTCATATATCAAAAACAATAAACATACAATGTAGTGAACCATCCCTTACATAATACTAATCATAATGATGAAGTAATAACAATAATAATAATACAGCTCATATCTGATCATAATAATAACTGATCATAATAAATGATCATAATAATAAATGGTCATGATAATAAGTGATCATAATAATAACTGATCATAATAATAACTGATCATAATAATAACTAATCATAATATTAACTAATCATAATAATAACTGAACATAATAATTGATCAAAATAATAATGATCATAATAACTGATCCATCTGATAACTGATCCATCTGATAATAATCTGATAATAATCTGATAAAAAAAATAACTGATCATAATAATAACAATAATCATAGTAATGACAATAATAATGCAACTGATTATAATAATAATAACTGATCATTATAATAACAATAATCATAATAATCACTGATTATAATAATTTGTCATAATTCAAATAAAAACATTGATATTGAAAACACTCAAGAGCATAATAAAGTGCCCCATTTGCCACGATGCTTCTGCAGATTTCCCCTTCTTGCAGCAATAGAATATTCTACCGCATGCAAGAAATTTACATAATTAAGAAAAGATTGAAAAGTAACATGGTTGGCCTGCTTTTATAAATGCATATTTTAGCTAATAAGATTACAAGGCTACCTATAACAGGGGCTTCTGAATTTAAGTTACCAAAAATGACATTAAAAGAATTAAGCTGTAGTCTTTGTCCAGTCTGTTGATGAAACCATATTTGAATTTTATCCCAAAAAGAAACTAAATGCGGACACTCCCAAAAGACATGCAGGTAGGTTTCTTCTTCCTCATGGCAAAATGAACATAATGGACTGTCTATACATTTCCAGATATACAATAACCTATTTATTAATAAAAATTTATGAACAATTTTATATTGAAAAAAACTTGTTGTTGGGTCAATAATAGAAGTATAGACTAGTCTCCAGGGGATTGGGGTGTCAAAGAGACATGACATCTGAACATTATACGAACAATCTATCAAATTATAGGGACCTAAAAAGAATGTATACATGCTTTTATTTATCTTATTTATTTTCTAAGCCAGGTATTATCACATTGGGTAGGTATACAAACTACTTTTTACTAGTATCTGTTAATCCAGCAAATTTTGTATACTATTAGATTGTTCTTATTCAAGTGTTTTATATGTCATTGTGTCTCCTACGGATTTAGTTGTCATATCACAGCACAATTCAGCCATTCTGGCTGCTACTAGTATGTCTGCGACAGTGTTGAAATAAACCATTCATATGTACTACAAGCCGACCTAAATATCCCGAATTAAAGGCCTCCAGTGCAGTTTTTAGGACTTAGCTTGGAAACTCGTTTTTTTCCAAAGCCGATATTCTAGACATTTATCTACATGTACATACTGAGTTGACAACACTATCCCAATGTATGTTGACCCTCACGAAGCAAAAATTACCAAAATTCTGGCGGAAAATGGTTACTGGAAGGGCCCTGGGCTGATTTTGAGGGTACGTACCTCCCAGAAAATAAAATACTCCTCTTTGGGATTGTTTCTGCATTCTTAAAAACCCGAAGTATGAAATAATGATTCAAATGAGCTAATGTGAAGCAGTGTGTGTCAATATCACACGTTTTGCTGCCCTGAAATCGCAATGGATGCATTTAATCAGTGCCAGCGACGCCACGTGTTGAAAATCTGAGTGACGTGTTTTCGTGTTTTTCTGTTCCCCCGGGGCACGTCATGTAGAGAAACGTGCCTGTCGGTGAGTTGTTTTCTGCGGGGAACTGCCAGTGACAGTTCGGTCTTCAGTCAGCAGCCAGGCGTACCAGACAAGCCCAAAGAACCATGATGTCTATGTCACCACACGACGTGAGTTGGCACTCAGCTGTAGGCTTGAACTTTATCAACTAAGAAGGCTTATTGGCGCATGTAATAGGGTCCAACACGCACGCTGAATTCATAATCAGCCAGCTTGCTGTTACCAGCACAATGAATGATAACAGCTCTACTCCGCATTTTAAAGACTTACATTTAGCGTGGTTTTGCCACCTGATGCCATTGTACCTTTACGTACTAGGTAACCTTAGCAAAGGTATGTGATAGAAAGTTAGCACAGTATTGGCAGAGAACCTGCCATTAATGGTCTGTGTTTCACACCTATGACTTGTTTGGGGTGTAACAAAATATGACAAGCAGGCACGAGCTGAGGTCAACTCTACGTGTTGTGTTAGCCCACTCTGTGCCTTCGACGTCCCTCGTATATCGAACCGCACTGTGGCGTGAAATGTCACTATAGCGCGACGACATATAGATTTATATATGGGCAAAAACAGGCAGAATAGTGAAACATCGGTGCACAAAAGGGGGCGGGAGGCTTTGAGGTCACTGAAAATCTTCCAGCTCAGTTGTCAGGATCAAAGAAGCCTAGACTCTAAACCTTGACCTTTTTTAGTGTAGACTGTGCCTCAATCTGGTTCTTTTTAGCACAGACACACAAAGACTTCAGGGGTGCCAGAGCACACAGTGCAACTTTAATAGTATACAGTGCAATTTTACGGAATACAGTACGATGGTATTAGTTTACAGTGCAATTTTACGGAATACAGTGCAATCGTATTAGTGTACAGTGCAATTTTACGGAATACAGTGCAATCGTATTAGTGTACAGTGCAATTTTACTAGTGTACAGTGAAATTTTACTAGTAAAATTGCACTGTATACTAATACGATTATTGCACTGTATTCCGTAAAATTGCACTGCATTCCTCAGAATTGCACTGTATACTCTGGCACCCATGAAAGAAACGATGGTACGTACAATTGTAGTTTTGGGGTTAAGTTTAACATTTGATAAAATGAACTGCCCTACAGTGAAGTAATTGGTAAACGACACGATTTTGTAAATCAAGAAAGTGTTTTGACAAATAACTCATATACAGTGTCAGTTGGAAACATAATTATAATACTAAACTCTTTCATGAGAATGGTGCACCTAGGATGTTGCATGGAAGTCACAATTATCCAAAGATCTATGCGAGATGGAAAGAAAATAGGGCTGTTTGGTGTGTATTTAAAATGCTTTAATTGTCATCGACACTTGTAAAATCATTGAAGGTGAACAACTTGGAACCGGAGAAATCCTGTCTTTCAGAAAGGTTTTAAGGTGGTATTTGGCCACATGGACTTTTAATTAAAATTTTATGGATGACATCCGCGCGCGCATTGATTTTCGCCAGTTCTGAAAATTACAAAAATCACCTCCTCCGAAGCTCTGGTCTGGGTGCCATCCTCCGTAGTCCATGGAAGCTAGCGAATATAGGGAGCCCTTGGTAACTACGGAGGATGGCACCCAGGCTGCTGAAGCTCCACGGAACTCATGAAATCAGGAAGGTACCGATTCACAAATTCCGCAAAAGGCCAGCATGTGCCGGCTTGTCGTAAAAGTCGCTATGTACTACCAACTGCAATTCACAATGCCAGCTTTGTATTCCCGTGATTAAGCTGCATTTTATTTTCTTTGGCTAGAGTTTTTTTTATTCGCCCGCGCGCACTAGTTTAGTTGTCTTCATTGTCTTCAGAGGATGTCATCCATTGAATTAAGTCAGTGTGGCCTTACCCGAAGTACATACTGCTGGCTAGCCACGAGGTGCCTCGGGCGAACGCATATGTTGCAAGACATAATTGATTAGTTTTCTACTGAACCTGTAGACCTGTTAGTTCAGAGAAGTCAGGTGGAAAAATTGACGAATTGGCACTGCCTTCCCCTGGGCTGCAAAGTAGCAGAGCACAGTTTTCGCCCTATGGGGATTTCTATAGTTAAGGACACCAAGATGGCCCACTTCGACAGGGTAAAACTTATAGTACGGTGCACTTCACAAATACCAAAATGGAATATGTCTGAGTAGAGGGTACAGTCTACAAAATATCTAGAAACCAAAAAAAATTCTGTCGACGTATCTGCTTGTGACGTACGCGTACTCTTTGAAAATGTCAACTGAACTGCAGCCGACTCACCAGCAGTTCCGTAATACGGCAGATTTATACACGAACTGCGAAACCTTCACAATTCAAATCATACAGTCTCAAACCTGATATATTTCTATACCACACGGCACAATTTAAATCTAGCTGACGCTCACATGATGCTTTCTACCCGGTCTTCAAGAATATTCGCTGTACTATTTTCTATGCCCCCAGGTGTCACCCATTGATACTGTGTTCTGCGACCTACAACCGTGAGAGAACAACTATTATCAAGTTTTGGAGACGGTGTATTGGATAATAAACTAGAGCAAGCGGCTAGGGGGCCCAAACCTACGTCACTTCTTTCCCAGCACAAGAGCTACCTACCATTCAAATTTCGTGCCCCTAGCATGTCTAGATCATGAGATATAAAAACTGTTCCGCTGCAGTACCATAACAAGCCGCCAGGGGGCCCAAAATCTAATCATTTTGAGGTCTCATCAAGACCTACCCATCTACTAAATATGAAAACAATCCATCTTAGCCTTCTCGAATTATCGTGTTTACAGACAGACAGACACACACACACACACAGACGAACGCCCAATGGCCATGAAAACATAACCTTCTCGGCGAAGGTAATAATGCAAGGATGAGATGAAACATAATTAGCAAAAAGTCAACTCGGCATGTAATACAAGTGAAGGTCATAAATGGCAAGCCATGAAGCTAAGAGTCACCATAATTAGTGGTTTATCGACCTTGTGGTAACAGCTGGCAGACATCCAAGGTCATGAGGTCAATCTGGGGTTAATGGAAGAGCCAACTATTTCATGGGGAGGAATTCTTTTGATCCATTTTTGTTGGTGATTTCACAGTTATATTGATACGTTTATTGCTAATTCCTGACCGAAGGTTAAATGCAAGTAAAAAAAAAAAGAACATTGAGACAGGGTATAGAATAACTTTAAAATCTACATGATAACACAATGTAATTGTCTAAAACTATAGCAATGTATAGAACTATGTCTGAAGGGTTTGACTTCTCTTTTGTAAACCATGGAAGACGTAATGTCCCACCTTTTCCAAAATTTGTGGGTTTTGGGAAGTTAAAAAAAAATAGTTTTTTCTTCGTCTGTAAGTTTTGAAAAATTGGGGTAAATTGTAGAAGTTTGAATAGACAACTTATTTCAAGCGTTGTTATAAAAAGGAACAGTTTGAGATAAAGTGTATTTCGTCTACCATATAATTGAATATATATATTCAATATAAATATATATGCCACATATTCGCCACGTTCACCATGAAGTGACAAAGCGCAAACAGTAGATCTACTTGTGTAATACGCAAAAAAGCAGTTACTCAAGCAACTGGATATGATTTTGGAAACGGTCAGACGTTTCAGGTAGTATCCACTAGCTTTCGTCAGTGACTGAGAGACCAGAGGAGAAATGCAGCTTTATAAGCACAAACTATTGATTGATATGTATATATGATTGAAGTGAAGACATTTTTTGGAAGTCCAAAAAGGAACAAAAGCTAGACAACTGAAGACAAGATGATGCAAATTAGTCTAAAAGCTCCTATTGTGCAGAACAGGAGCTTAAGTGCTGTCTGTCCTTGGGGCTGGGAGCGCCAAATTTGTACCCATAATCCCCCTTCCCTGTTGAGGTAGAAGCGTATATACAACTGTTTACAAAATCATATTAAGTTGTTTGAGCAACTGTTTTGGCGTATCTTACTACCTGGATGTCTAACCTTCACCGAAGTACGTGTGTGACTTCCAGGCCAGATTTAACGGCCATACAGTCATACGAGTACAGATGCACTATAAGGATAGGTTCCAAAGTTGTTGACATTGATCAACTGCTCAATAAAATACAACTTGTCAAGAGAGAGCGTCCCTATAGGGGAACGGCGTCACATATCTTGTGTATTAGCAGCCACTGAGACGGCAAAGTTGGCACCAGAGCCAGAATTCTGCCTCCCTAATGGTGAAAGGTCGACAAAAACGCAGCAATTTCCGTCAAAACGTCAAGCCATCAAGCCAAACCAGTTCCTTTTTTGCGGTAGTTTGTGTGAGTAATCTTTGACTGCGGTATGGATGGCAGTTCAGAAGGAAGTTCCCGTCGTTATAATCTATCAAGACCTGTCAAAACAGAACCCATCGCATACGTTTATCAAGCGGTGGAACGCACTGGAGAACGCTTAAGGTTCCTAATGAGAAAGTTGTGCCTCATTTGTAGTCCTCTCGAGACCTAGATAGTCAGACTGGGTCGTGTTAGGCGTTTTCTATCACCCACACGAATCTTGTTAGCATAGAATGAAGGTACATGAACGGATTTGTGTAGTTTCGACTGTCACAAAGCATAAGTCGCTCCTGTTCTGCACAGTAGGAGCTTTTTGACTAATTTGCAACATCTTGTCTTGGCTTGTCTAAATTTCTTTTTGGACTTCAGAAAAATTGTCTTCATTTATTTGCATATCAATCAATAGTTTATGCTTATAAACCTGCATTTCTCCTCTGGTCTCTCAGTCACTGACGAAAGCTAGTGGATGCTACCTGAAACGTCTGACCGTCATATCCAGTTGCTTGAGTAACTGCTTTTTGGCGTATCTTATTACCTGGATGTCTAACCTTCACCGACGCATAAGTCGTTGTTACTTGACAGATAGCGTTACATGTATCATACACAATCCCCTTTACAGTTTAAATATGTTCACCAAACCCCGAAACACTTCCAGAAAGCATGAAATCTTTGATTTGCATAGTTTTGACTGTCGCAAAGTCCTAACTGTGATAAGTCGTTGTTACTTGTGATACCGATAAGATTACATCATACATCATGCAATATATTCACCAAACCCAGAAACACTTTCAGAAAGTCTTAAATTCCGATTTGTGAAATTTCGACTGTCGCGAAGTCCTAACTGTGATAAGACGTTGTTACTTTCAAGACCGATAAGATTACATCATACAATCCCCTTTACAGTTTAAATATGTTCACCAAACCCCAGAACAATTCCTGAAAGTCTAAAATTAAGATTTGTGAAGCTCCCACTGTCACTCTAACTGTGGTAAGTCGTTGTTACTTGTAAGACCGATAAGATTACAACATACTGTTTTGTACAGTTCTTTTTTGCAGTCTGAAATATTTGATTTCTAAAGTTTCGACTGTCGCGAAGTTCTAACTGTGATAAGTTATTGCTATTTTTGATACCGATAAGATTACATCATACAATCCCCTTTATTGTTCCAATGTATTCATCTAACGCAGAAACACTTCTAGTCTGAAATCTTCCATTTGTATAGTTTCGACTGTCGCGAAGTTCTATCTGTGATAAGTCGTTGCTACTTGTGATACCGATAAGATTACATCATACAATTCCCTTTACAGTTGCAATATATTCACCAAACCCCGAAACACTTTCAGAAAGTCTTAAATCTCCGATTTGTATAGTTTCGACTATCGCGAAGTTCTAGCTGTGATAAGGCGTTCGTACTTGTAAGACCGATAAGATTACATCATACTGTTTTTGTACAGTTCTAATCTATTCACCAAAACACTTCTTGCAGTCTGAAATATTTGATTTCTATAGTTTCGACTGTCGCGAAGTTCTAACTGTGATAAGTCGTTGTTACTTGTGATACAGATAAGATTACATCATACAATCCCCTTTACAGTTGCAACATATTCACCAAACCCCGAAACACTTTCAGAAAGTCTTAAATCTCCGATTTGTATAGTTTCGACTCTCAAGAAGTCCTATCTGTGATAAGTCGTTGTTACTTGTGATACCGATAAGATTACATCATACAATTCCCTTTCCAGTTGCAATATATTCACCAAACCCCGAAACACTTTCAGAAAGTCTTAAATCTCCGATTTGTATAGTTTCGACTGTCGCGAAGTTCTAGCTGTGATAAGGCGTTGTTACTTGTGATACCGATAAGATTACATCATACAATCGTCTTTAACAGTTTGAATATATTCACATGACCTAACCCCAAAATATATTCATACAGTCTGAAATCTTTGATTTCTACAGTTTCGACTGTCGCGAGGGTTTAACTATGATAAGTCGTTACTTGTGATACCGATAAGATTACATCATACAATTCCCTTTACAGTTGCAATATATTCACAAAACCCCGAAACACTTTCAGAAAGTCTTAAATCTCCGACTTCTATAGTTTCGACTGTCGCGAAGTCCTAGCTGTGATAAGTCGTTGTTACTTGTGATACCGATAAAGATGACCGTATGATGTAATCTTATCACGTAACAACGACATGTCATAGTTTAAGCTTGTGCCAGTCGAATCTGTATACAAATGGGACGTTATTATCAGAAATCCGAAGTGCTCTGGGGTTAGGTGAATATATTGCAACAGTAAAGAGACTTGTATGATGTAATCTTAACAGTTTTAATAATTATATTCACAACCCCAAACCACTTCCAGTAAGTCTGAAATCTCTCTATAAGATCCTCACTAGTCAGAAACAACAGAATATGTACCACCAAGGACGTTTAAGGACTCCCGTGTTCATGTTCATGTATCTCACTTTCATAGACAATGAACGGTGTATCTGACCTAGCAACTTTCATTTATCGAGCGTGGGGGAAAAGAAGAAAATACCTGTATTCATAATACATCAACAGTTGTCACTTTTTGTTACTTCTGCACGTTTGTTTTCTCTTATTATGTTTGATTTAACTTATGTACCTGTATTTATTTTATGAACTCTTTGTTCATTATGTACAGATTTGTTTATTTGTATTTACGATCTGTTATGAGTTCACTTATTTGTTCACCATTATTGTATATAGCCTACCTTTATTTGCGTTCATATTTTGTTTGGATTCTGTTATCTGTACCTTTGATCGTCTTTTGTTTATGTATAATTTATTGAAGCGGTGTCGTATAAGCCCACACGGGCTGGGCGCGGGATAGCGCACGACACGGAAATAAAGCATCATTCATTCATTCATTCATTCATTCATTCATTCATTCATTCATTCATTCATTCATTCATTCATTCATTCATTCATTCATTCATTCATTCATTCATTCATTCATTCATTCATTCATTCATTCATTCATTCATTCATTCATTCATTCATTCATTCATTCATTCATTCATTCATTCATTCATTCATTAACGGATATGATTTCTTGTTCTGCCCGTCCCAGACGCCGGTGAAACAGTTGAGCAGACGTGAAGTGACCGTTTCTCTGGACACCATCAGAGCCCTGCAGGACATGGCTCGTCGCCTGAACGACAGCGTCTCCATAACCAAAACGGCTGCACAACAGGTTCTGTATCTGTATCTGTATAGCCCTTAGGCGTAACACACCAGCTTCTGTATCTGTATAGCCGGTATAACTGCCCTTCGACGTAACACACCAGCTTCTACACGTACCTGTATAGCCGGTATAAATGCCCTTCGGTGTAACACACCAGCTTCTGTATCTGTATAGCCGGTATAACCACCCTTCGGCGTAACACACCAGCTTCTGTATCTGTATAGCCGGTATAAAGTTAACTGCCCTTCGACGTAACACACCAGCTTCTGTACCTGTTTAGCCGGTATAACCACCCCTAGCAGCTTGTTCTGGAACTGCAGGGGACTTTCTGGTGAAATCTTTAAAAGCCAAGTCCAGATAGAAACAATGTATTTTCATTTTTTTTTGGTGTGTAGGTAGCTATAGGTAGAGATGTACATAATCAAATTGTGCAGATGAAGACTTAATTTGCATAATTAAAGAGGAAATTCTGTTATTATAGTGTTTTACATCATAGTACTTTCACATACATGCAATGCATGTAATCTACGGCAAGTGGAACATCAACAGATACCAGTTATGCATATAATCACCTAATTTGCATAATTACTTTGAAAATTATGTGATTTCTTAATGGTGAATGATGGGAATTTTATACGTTGTGACATGTATAATTTAGGTAATTAATAAGATTAACATCACTATGCATATGTTATGTTGATATGTTAATACATAGTTATATACAAGAGTTGCCCCTTTAAAGTAACACGAGAGAAAGAAAAAAAACTCCCTCAAATAGTCGTATGTATGCAATTCTCAGTTCACGAAACTCTTAGCCAGAGCAGCTTTCAACCCATAAGCCTAAAAACGTGGTATAACACTCGTACATAGCTTTCACGGCGCACTCATAAACATGTTCAAGCAGGGTAGACAGCGCATTTCACCGTGGCCTTCACCTCAGCAACCCGCCCTAATAGCTTTTAGATAGCTCTAGGCGGTCAACCACCCCTGATTGGATGTACTTGTTCGCACATGTGGTCGGTGCACGTACGTTGGTCGATGATTTAGACGCACAAGCTGCGTGTATGATTAAATCACTACCTTTGCTACTGTCATCAACCGGTCGTTGTCATTTGAAACTGTCTAGGCCATATCACAACTTTTTAAGGTAAAAAAGCTATAAAACGTATATAAAAAGCAATTGCAAACAAAGAAAATGCACAAGTAAAACTAGAGAGATAACGTTTGCAAAGCAAATACATAATGTTTACCTTCGCATATGGTCTGCTCTGTTAATTCTGACTCAAACACATTCACATAATTAGATGGTGAGAGGAGTCTAAATCCCCCCTACTATAAAATTGCAACATGCTGTAACCCAACACTAGTTACCATGGTGTGAGAAACAGTCATTCAGGTCATTGACCATGTCAGAGGTCGTTATTTCGAATGGAAGAAGAAGAAGAAACAGAGCAAAAACCGATATGTTTTCCTTCCATAAGGCCACAACAAGTAAATTTTATGGATGACATCCTCCGCAGACTCCAAATCTAATGCGAGCGGGCGAAAAAAACAAGGCGGGCCGAAAAAAACAAGGTTCCTACTATTTGAAATTTTGACTGGATCATTGTACAAAAGGTTTTGATTCAGTGTGAATATCACATATACACAGCCAACATCCCATATCACTGCATCAAAAATCTTAGCCTTTTCTTGTATCCTCTCTTTGTAGTTATCTGCCATCCACCTTCCGGCATGGCAACAGACATCTTTGCCCATTTTCGGCATGTTGACCACTGTCAGAAGGCAACAAAATTTCTTGTTTTTTTTTTCAAAATCAGGCGAAAATTAATGCGCGCGCTGATGTCATCCATAAAAATTACTTGTTGTGGCCTAAACATTAAAAACTAAATCATAAAGCCCTAGTTTTCTACACCACGAAACGCCACTGTACATAGAACGCTATACATGTGCGGTAGAACGTGCTAACACACTCGGAGTGCCCTTCTGTGATATGGCATCGACCGATTCAAATTGTATTGACAGTTTGTAACGAGACGGAAATTAGCGTCATCCGCATGAAATGGTTAGTTACAATTCGTCTGCCAGCTGCAATTTGGGAAGTAGATGAACCATTTACTGCTTGAAGCAGCAACAACAACTACATTTGGCCTCAAATCACCTTTTACTATAGCCTGGTATCCAGTCTTACGTGGCTGGGGCTGTTGGGGTGTTCAGGCAGGCTGTGCCTTCGGGGGCTCTAATAGCTTCCCCCGCCCAGTACAACAGGCCGTCCCGCGGTAGGAGTGTTACGCTGATAACAGATGGTATGCTTGGGGATTTGGTTGGTAGGGATAATCAATCTGCCATCGTGAAATACACATCGGGAAACCTAGCTGAGGCGGGCGGGACAGAGCTCCTACAGCCCCGAGGAAAACCCAACCCTACCACGTAAGACTGGATACCAGGCTACTTTTACTACGCTCGTACACGAAGAATGACTTTTTTTATTAAGTTCTGATTGAGTTTTGTTGTATTTAAAATCGCAATGTTTGCATCATGCAACATACATTTTAGCAACTTATAGAATCAATGGTCTCACAACCCAAAACCATAAGGCCAACACCAAGTAAATTTTATGGATGACGTCCGCGCGCGCATTGATTTTGGCCTGTTCCTAGAAAAAAAAAAAAAAAGAAATTCCGCTTTCTGTAACTATGACCAAAGAGTCACGACAGTGCCACAAATCGTCAGATTGACGTGAAACCCGTAACGCGAAAACAGGACAGGACGACAACTGCTGTTCCACCTGATTTATTGCTGTTTTGATGACGAATAAAGGACTTCTTGCTTGTTATGCTGTGTCACCTCATTCAATTTGTGTCCTAACATTTGTCGTCTCTTGAAATATTTCTAATCTAAGCATCTTGTTTTTTAGGGCCCTTCTTGTTTTTTTTCGCATTCTCGCATTAGATTTAGGGTCTCCAAAGGACGTCATCCATAAAATTTACTTGGTGTGCCCTAAAATAAAATCACCCTGAAATTTCTTCTCACATAGATCACCGAGCAAGCAGACGCCATGCAGCGGACCACAAGTGAACTGCAGGTGACGTTGGGCAATATCTACGACAAAGAGGTTCACGCGGCGGCAATGGCGAATTTTGATAAATCCGAGAGTTTGTTGGGTAAGATTTAAATCATGAAATGGTAGCAGACATCGTATGTTTCTGTAGATTTCCACGTTTAAACATGTATGTCATAACTCAAGAAGGTATCAATGGATCGCTTTTAAAAATAGCTACAAGGTTAGGTCTTTCCAATAGAATAAAACAGTTTTTTTCCCTGTTAGCTTTCTCAGTATTATAGCAGAACGTCCAGCTTGTCACCGATCTTGTGTCCTTGGGAAAGGCACTTCACACGACTTTCCTCACTTCACTCAGGTGAAAATGAGTACCTAGCTTCGGTTAGGGCCGTCTCTCGGATAGGACGTTAAATGGAGGTCCCGTGTTTGGGAGAGCCACACCTCACGCTCATTAAAGAACCCACCACACTTATCGAAAAGTGTAGGGTACCTGCAGTAGAAGTGGTTTAAACTTTACAGTCTTGTCTCAGGTTTGACATCTTGAAGAGGTTATGTCAAACTTCCACAAATGTAATAAATCTTCATAAATAAACAAATGATTACTTCCAACTTTCATGACAATTCAGATGAACATTCATGCTAATAACATCCCGTGTTATTTCAGGTGAGCTGTCGCTGATTACCAACAGGCGACTGTCCAGAACCCCCAAGAAGAAAGGGCGGCGGTCCGCTTCCCAGTCCCGTAAGAACCCGGGCACCAACTCTCCCAGAAGCCCGGACTTTTAAAGTAGTTTCACACTTGTAGTATTTGAAAGTCCAGTGCAGGTGAACATCATTAAACATAATGTATTCAAACAAGGACATCATTTGCATAATTTATGAGCAAATGCTAGAATGGCATTGTTTGTTAAATATAAGACTGTCTTTTGCTTGAGAATATGATAAACTGATGTAATTCATGCAAATGAGGGTCCTATTTTCACAATCAGGGGAAATAATCTATAATTTGTCAGCCATAAAGCTTTAAGTTTTCTAAAACATCATTTGGCGAAGGTATGAGATCGGGGAACTCTAGTTACAAAAACTCTCCGACACAGGTAGTTTCATATATCGGCATTTCCAATGGGTGGTCACTAATTAAACGATTAACCGATTTATTAATAAACGGTTCCACTAGACGCTAAAACTCACACATCGAAAACAATTGCACACGCGGATGCCATTCATGAAATTTACTTGCAGTGGCCTAAGGTTATTTTGCCTCCATCTAAAGGCTTTGCATATCGCCTCTCTGACCGTGCACGTATATTCCCCAGGATTATCCTCCGTGTTAAGTCATGAATTTTAAATGCTGAATGCAGTCAAAGAACGTCTGGTACCCGTACGCCAAAGTAAGTTCAGTAAATCCGTAAGAAAGTTACAACGCAACGTCTATTAAAATGCAAAGCTTCGGCCATACTTTTTGTAGAAAGTCGTATAAACTAACGATATTGTAGCATAATATGGAGACGAATTTACCACCTTCAATAGCCCTTATAGGAAACTTTGGCAAAAATCCAAAACTAGACAGACTATCACAGATCCAAAGACTCGTATATACATGTATAACGATTTCAGAGAGTAACGGAGATTTGGTTCATCTTGATAATGGTTGTAGAAACGTAATAAAAATGAACATTATATCTATTACAGTACCCTAAGGTTTAGTTATATTGCTAATATGGCGCGATTACGCAATAAAGCGAGAGATTGTTATACATCAAATAGTTTGGCTAGGAGCCTGTTGGCTCATTTGGGAATTCTATAGCTAGTGCCAGGAAAATTGCGCTAGATTTATAGATCCACATACGTCTGAAGTTGCTCGTGCCAGCACTGAAGACCCTGTCACACATAGCTAACATAACATAACCATAACCTACTGCCCTTCTCCAGACCATGGTTGGGAGTAAGTCGTGAGCAAGGGCATCTATGGTTGGGAGTCAGTCGTGAGCAAGGGCATTAATGGTTGGGAGTAAGTCGTGAGCAAGGGCATCTATGGTTGGGAGTCAGTCGTGAGCAAGGGCATCTAGGGTTGGGAGTAAGTCGTGAGCAAGGGCATCTATGGTTGGGAGTAAGTCGTGAGCAAGAGCATCTATGGTTGGGAGTTGGTCAGCGAAGTTTTCGTCTACCCCAGCCGAAAAATGGAAGTCGGGAATTGCATATTCATCTTGGTCATGAATTTGCAGTTTACGCTTGAGCAGCTCAAGGCTTTACGTGTCCTGCAGTTACAAACCATTTATGGTGAACACTTTTATTTTTGTCAGGCCACAGCAAGTATTTTTTATGGATGACATCAGCACGCGCATTGATTTTCACCTGATTTTGAAAAAAAAAAAGACAAGAAATTTTGTTGCCTTCTGACAGTGGTCAACATGCCGAAAATTGGCAACGATGTCTGTTGCCATGCCGGAATGTGGATGGCAGATAAACATAAAGAGGGGAGACAAGACAAGGCTTTGATTTATTGTTTTGTCTTTTACTTTGAAGCAGTGATGTATTTTATTCATTTTATATGTGATGTTCCCACTGAATCAAAACCATTTGTACAATGATTGAAAGCTTTTATTTTTCAGTGACAATGAATGTTGTAATAGCTGGCAGAAATTCTTTAATAGGCATATTTCAGATAATTATTTCTTGTTTAACAAGGTTGAAAATGTAGGAATTTTGTTTTTTTGGCCCGCCTTGCTTTTTTTGGTCCTGTTGCATTAGATTTGGAGTCCGCGGAGGATGGCATCCATAAAAATTACTTGCTATGGCCTTACAATAAAATGCATTCAGATTGAGTATAATGTTTTCTAATGGTCAATGTTTCATACGAAATAGAAGCTTTCTGGTATTAGCTTTCATAGAAGCAATCATGAGAGAGAAGCAATATGCACCATTTTAATACGTTTCATTTATGATCAATTTATATTCAGTGAATACCGATCCTTACCTTGCAAATATTGAACACCAATGGTCAATTATTGAATATGGTATTTGATACATGGATTTGTTGAATTTTGCTGTCATGGCTAATATTATATGGCCGTCTGCGGTTTAATAAATGGTGTAACATTATTTGACTACGTATCATTCATTTGTTTGAGTTTGAGAACTATTTACTGAGTAGATAATTAATACACATATTTCTGTCCAGACATCTTTGTTCATTGGATGATTAGTTTCATGTCGTTTTATGCGTCCTCGGTAATTCAGGATATACAATCAAATTCTTTGATTGGCACGTTTCAAAGACGCACATGTTATCAGTTTATATAAAGTAGTAGATTTTTCAATCAAATTCATCTCAGCAAAGATTTGAACAGGTCTTGAAATAAGTCTGAGCGCCCTCATGCGACTTTAGAAGCCTTTGCAGCAACGCGAATGTATATGTTTACTTCTTGGATTAAATAATCATTCAGGACATTAAGAAATTCCGTACGGTAACATTTTCGCAAGGTTGTTGTAGAGGATAATATCAATGTCATTGATTAGGAATTTCCTGCTGTTAAGAACTCTCTCCAAGTATTGTAGATAATTTAGTAATAATACAACCTTCCTTCCAGCTTTTGGCACCTTGCTCCTCTTACAATAGCTGGCCAAGCACTTTCAAATATTAATAATTATTTTTTTATTAAAAAATACTGATACGCACCCACCCACTCATAAAACATTATGTTAATACTCATACTGGCAAGAGTAATGAATATATTTCTGAGCCGTTACTGATGCTCGCTGACAGTAGGGAATGCTGCACTATGCGAGAGCCCAAGTTCCTATGACATATGTTAGTCTACTAGTAATTGAACATCTACATGTACTTTGCAACATACTGGGTAGCTTCAAGATTCTGAAACGCGACTGCTTGATTACAAATCTAATCCCATTTAGTATTTTCTTAGTACAACGGCGGTATGACGAAAACAAGTAAATATACAGCTCGAGATCTGTAGCTTGGTCAGAATTTACATAAAGATTATAAATGTTAACGTTATTCAAATAGCCTGCTTCAGACAATTAACACCGTGTGTTAGGTAAGACCAATCTTGAGTTGTTTGCCACACGGCATTACGAAACTGCTACCGAAGGAGGCAGACACACCTACAGGAACAACAGCGTAAGCCTGGCCCGAGTTTCTTCCCAGAAAGTGCCAACTGAAGCTATTTCGACTGGTTCAAAAAGTATGATGGCATGGGTCTGCTAGTGGACAATCAGTGAAGCAAAATCTGTTGTGGCTTAATCAAGGTTCAAATCTGTAACCAGATGTTAGCTGGAATATTATCCAGTTTTTGCTCTGTCACCAAGGGTAATTAAGTGTCAGAGAAGCCCTGCTGTCAGAAACTTTTCACCCCAACATCTGCTTGGACTTAAGGTTAGCTATAAAACATGTACTGACTACACCTTTTGATTTCTATTTCTTGAATGAGAAGCTCTAGCGGTTACTTACAAAATTGCAGCTTTCAGTGTTGTTCAATGTTTTATGATGAGTCAGTTTTCACGCTTTTTTCTAATAGTCACAGTATTTTGACGAGTATCGTACATTGTTCAAACAAACATTTTTTTTTATCTCAAAAATAGCAATAAAACAACCTTTATGCCAGCTTCTGGTATATTGCATTGCTCCCCTTACGATAGCTGGCCAGACACCCCAAAGTATTCATAATTAATTCTTTCTTAGAAAAAAATACTTTTCTACTCGTAATACATATGTAACTGACAAAAGTAATGAATATATTACTGAGTCGTTATTGCTCGGTTCCATGGATCTCAACTGTTAAACCCAACCTCAACTTTTAAACTATCAGACACTATTAAATATTGAGCTATACATTCAACCACAATATTTTCTTAGCCTTGAAATAACGGTCAACATTCTGTCAAATTCCTATAACAAGCAACAAGCATAAATCACTATACTTAAGAGATTATAGTACTGCGTTTGAGTTAAAAAATATTCTAAGAATTCCACGAATGCGTTCCCTAAAGGCCCGGTCACACTGGCGGAACTTTGCTGGAGCGTTGCTTGAACGGTGAATAAAATTCATCACCGCTCGAAACCGCTCACCACCGCTAAACAGAAGTTGGCCCCCGTTAAAGCAACGCCGTGTACGCCCGGCCACCGCTGACGTTTCTGGAGGGGCCCTCCTACCGCTCCGAAAGTTTTGAGCTGCACAAAATATTGCGAGCGGTGAGGAGGGGGAAATTTTCCGCTCCGGCAAAGTTCACCCCCGCTCCACCAACGCCCAGTCAAAGTTTGGCATCGCTAGACGCAAGTTCGTGGACGCTTGGGTCCGCTAGGCCAACGCAGAAATCTTGAACGCTTGACCACCGCTGCTTCGCCAGCGTTGCCCGGGCGGCGATTAAACGTTGCACAAACGTTGCACAAACTTCGCTGGAGCGGTTGCAAGCGTTTTACGAGCGGACACGGGGTTGCTGGAACGGTGTCAGGCGTTGAAGCAGCGATCCATATCGGCAATGAACTTTGGTTTGGCGTTGGTATAGAGGTGTCGGAGCGGGACCAGAATTTGGCTATAAGTACGGTGAGGAATGGACCAGGTGCTCGTTTGGAATCGAGCTGCCGTTGAGTTCAGGCCTCATCTATATCGAATTTGCTAGAAGTTACAGTAAAACTGTATCACCCTGGATGCTGAGAGACTTGCTATGATTGGTGCACTAGTGTGCAATTATTTTGGGGCCACACGTAAAATGTTCAAAGAAGGGTCACACGGTCACTTTATTGGGGTCACAGGGGAACTTTGCAA